GGGTCAGGGGTGCCACGGCAGTGCCGGCACCACGTCACCCTATGGGCGTTCTGGTGTTTCTTCCCTGCTCTGAGGCAGAGGCACGGCCCGAGGGGGCCCAGCCCCAGCTCACCTGGTGGCCACCAGCGGGTAACTGTGGCAGGGCGAGGCCCAGGCATCCCTGGTCCAGGGCATCCCATCGTACAGCAGCAGGTCCTTCTCCGTCACTGCCATGAGCACCGGCCGCCACTGCTGCCGCCCCCCGTCCAGGCGCGCCTGCCGGCCACCGGGGCACCGTCAGGGGTGCCAGGGGCTGCAGGCACCCACCACAGCCCAGGATCCCAACCCCTGAGCCCGTGGTGAGATGGACCTCAGCCCAGTGGTTCCTCATTGCCAGGCAGCATCCATACCACTGCCATCCTGGGAAACCAAGCTGGGAGCAGCCCCCAGGGGCCCCGCTCACCACGCTGCCAGGGCTGGCTGCAGCTCTCAGGCAGTGAAATCATGGAATAGGGAGGGTGTGATGAGCGGTTCCATCTGGAAAATCCCATTAGGAGAAGGGGCTGAGGGCATGGGAAATGCTGCCATCACTGGGGCATGGCTGGATGGGAGAGCAGCAGAGCCAGTGCCCAGGCTGGGCTCTCTAGCTGCATCCACAGCCCCAGTGGCATCCTTGGCACATTCCGTGGGCACTGCTGTCCCTGGGAGCACCCCGGCACATCCCACCAGTGCGTACCTGCTCAGCCAGCCAGGCGATGTGCTTCACCTCCCGGCCTCCAGCCGTGGGGCTGCCAGAGCCCAGCGTGGCATTGAGCTCGGCCAGCACCTGGGGCAGCAGCGCGGTGATGTTGGCGTGCAGGGCACTGAACCAGGCGTGGGCCGTGGCCGTGTCCCGGCACCGCAGCACCAGCGTGTTCCGGCTGTCCGGCGAGTGCAGCTCGATCAGCCTGCGAGGGGACAGGGACACGGCCCGGGGTGGGACATCAGCACGGGCCGAGTGAGCCCCTGCCTGTGCCTGGCACAGCAAATCAGCTGCACTGCTGGGGCTTTGGGGCTTCCCCAGTGCACTTCCATCTTTTCCAGCATTTTTACTCCTCATTTTAAGGCAGAGGGGCAGCCAGGGGTCTGGGAGGGAACATGGCATAGCCCTGGCCAAACCCTCTGGAGGGTCCTTCCACAGCTCAGTGGTGAAGCAGGGGGTCATGGCCTCGGTGAGGGCAGCCCCCAGCTGTGCCCAGGTGTCTGTGGGCTGCAGGGACCCTCACACTGGCACTGGTGGGCAGACCCAATCCTGCCCTGGGGATCTTTGGGGATCTCCCACACCAGCACCCACCGGCAGCCCCTGCCCTCACCTGTTCTCCAGGTCGGGCATGCTGAGGTTCCGGGCGGCAAAGCACATCTTGAGGGGGATCACCTTGCGGTCACGGGGCCCCTGGTGCTGGGGGGACCCCGAGTCCTCGCTGCCACTCAGGCTGGGGGACTGCGGGGCCGCCCCCTCCCACGGCAGGTCTGACACCAGCGACGGCTTCTTGATGTAGGGGGTCACCTCCCGCATGAACTTCACTGGGGGGAGTGGGGGCACAGTCAGGCCTGGGGAGGGTCCTGCACCCCCACACCACAGCCCCGTGCCCCAGGGTTGATCTGACAGGATGACGTGACCCTCACACACCAAGGCTTGGAGGGTCTTGGGGGGTCCCACCCTGTCCGGGTCAGGGACGTCCCGAGTGAAGGACGAGCTGCCAGCACCGTCCCACTGCCGGCGTGGCTGTAGGAAGGGGAAGGCGCCACAGGACAATGGTGCTGGGCAGGAGGTCAGGCTGCAGCCCATCCTGGTCCCATCCTGCCCTGCCGCTGGTGGAGCAGCCAGGACTGTGCCCGCCAAGTTTCCAGCACTGCTGGGATGCTGAGCACTGCCGCTCACGCCCCGACGGCAGCGAGGAGGGCGTGCAGGGCGAGGAGGAGGGTGTGCAGCCAAGACATCCCGGCTCCACGCGCCTCTCCAGGCCGGGAAGGAAGGAAGGAGGCACCAGCTCCAGCTCCTGCTCCCCCCAGACTGTCCCACCCCAGCAGCTCCCCGCTGACAGCAGCCCTGGACCCCTGCCTGGACACGGCTCTCGGCCGGCCCGCGCCAAGCCCCGGCAGCCAAGGCCGAGGGAGGGACGCGCTGGGGACAGAGATGGGGCAGTGAGAGGGAAAACCAAACCAAAACAGCAAATACTGCACTGCACTGGGAAGCAAGTGGTGAAAGGATCCTGGAGCCGGCACAATGCCATGGCCAG